GTCGAGCAATGTAAGAAGACGCCTACAGCAAGAATAATCAGTTTAGATATTTACATCAAAAGTTCCTAAATCATTATGGCGTAAAAGTATAAATCCAAAAGATCTAGTGACCAACCGTAATTCCCAGCACGGGCATTCATGTTTCACAAACAAAAACCAGCAAAGGAAGGGGAAAACCACCAGAAAATGAAGGTAACTAAAGAAAGAATACCAAGTTAAGGAGGCCATTTACTGCAAAAACCAGACCCTATCATTAATTTGCTCATTACATTGGAAAAAGTATCATACCATTAAAAAACATATGTTACAACTGTTTACAAAAATTTCGACCTCATCTGCATCAATTCCACTTTAATTGTACATTCTTATTTTCATCAACAACCAAATCTAAAACATCATTGCATTCCTTATTTATATGTCAATAAGATGGGCTACAAAAACACCACTTCCAATCATGCATACATAGGAGCTCTGTTCTGTTACATAGTGGCAGATGAAGTTTGCTTTGTACATCTATTTTCTATTTTCCATTTACTCTACTTTAGTTTATTTTCTTGCCTGAAGAAGCATAATTCAATTCTTATTGCGGTATTATGACCTTATTAAAAAAATCCTCAGTCACCTGCTTAAAATTCGGTGCCACTCCCAAATGATATAGCAACAGCATAGCATCCAAGAGCTCTTCTTCTTTCAATGTAGCTGGAGACAAATTGATATCCCTAGGGGGTATAATCCTCATCTGCTGCATAGGCCGAAAATCAAACTGAGATTCAGATTGGTCACTTGTACCAGGTTTATCTTCTATCTCATCATTCAAATTCTCAGCACTGCATTCTGCAGCAACATGAGCAGATCTTTCTTGAATAGAACTGCAGTGACCGCGAGCACTTTTGGCCATATACCTAATAGGATGCTTTGAGATCTTTGCGAAGTCACTGTCATAACTCGAACAGCAGCACGGCTGCAGCTACCAAAATGTGTTACTCTAGAGTCTTCATCATCCATACAACCTTCTTCCCACCTGATAACTTCTTCTTCTTGCTCATCATTTGTAGGATGAGATTTAGCCAAATGGCCATATGATCCTCCAAGTCTAGAAAAGTCAACTCGATGAGGATCATTCTTCAAAAGTAAGCCAACAGAAAAACTTTGTTGGCCACCCCTGTGAAGAAAACCCACATCAAGTTCAGAATTAGCTCCACAGCTCTTCATCCAACCGCAAATGCCCCTCAATGTGGATGCTTCTGATAAAAGATGAAGTATGACTGTATACAATGAAACAAGGACACAGTTGCTTGAAACCCCAGGAGGTGGTAAGTTACGGTCTGCACCCCTGTTTTTGAGCAAAAGGTTTTGCAAAAATGTCTTAAACACTGAGCCTGGAAGCTGTGGCGGATCTCCAGGTGGTATAAATTGCATTACCAAGCAACACAGGTCCCTATGTTTCTCTTCAACCTGTAAAAACACATTATTTATCTTCTAATGGCTTAACTATAATGCAAAATTTTGCTTCACCCAAATCAAACCCAATTTATTTTGGGATGTGGAAATCTAGATAAGCCATACTTTGTAAAATAAAAAAGTGCAAAAGCAAAAGTGAAATGAACAATTGCATTGTATAAGGTACTTTAAAAAAGCAACAGTTGCTTGTTATGATAAGCAATATTTCTCCCAAATACTTGGCAGCTACCCAGATTTACAGAATAATAGTGGACAGGGAATATCGAGAGAGAGAGAGAGAGAGAGAGTCCATGCACTAAAGAGTTCAATCAAATCAGGTATTCCAGGCCATTCGATTAAGTCTCAAAGAAATGTAAGTTACAAGGACAAACACAGGAGAATCAAAGCTGAAGGATAAATGCATTCCAGCTATGCAGTTTAAAAATTAAGATTCCTAATTTCCCCAGTATTTTTTCCCCTTCTTTTTAGTTGCAGGTCCTCCAAAAAATAAAGTCCCTTGATCATGAGTATTTTTTTACAGAATTGGAAGAATTCCATTGATCTTTGAACATTAGTTGCAAAAGATGCAACTTAAACGCGGACAAACATCAATCCAGGAATCTCAGCTTCAGCCACATTTCCACTATAAATGCCGCTCTATTCTCAATATTAGTCCCCCCTTTAAAAACTAGATTTCAGTGATCGTTTAAGAAAAATGCAATGCCTAATTTTTAACTGGCACTACAACAAATACTAAGAACTAAGGACAATATTGTATTTGTACATTTGGAAAAAATAGGAAGATGAAAGGGCACGCGACAATATAGAGAACAGATCACTGACTGCTCCTTTAGTGTCTCCACAAAAATCCATTTCACCATTATATTATAGTTTTATTAATGATTTAAGGTACCATTATGCAATCAACCTATGTGTCGCCTTTTATACAATACCGAACCCAAATACTATCAACATATGAAGCAATCCTGTCAGAAACGGAAAACTTCAAGAAAAACATCGAAGAGTGTGCATTTTCTGTCTAATCAACTGTTTTACCTTTTCAAAGCAACTTACCGATACACTTAAGTTCTTCATTTTCAAGAAATGACCCATGAGTAGTTTTTACATGTGTAATCGCTCTTCTAAAGAGTTTTTTACTTCTCTAAATTAATCAGTGGAGAAAGCTCTGTTCATTCTAAAGTCTCAACTTCCCAAAAAATCAGTAATTGATTTTCTAAATTTCAGTGAGAATAGAGGAGCATGTGCAGAACGAGGTGATTATTTCTCCAAAAGCAAGAGGTTGGAAAAAAGTAATCAGAAGCAATCACTCAAAGGCATACCATATTGATGGCTTCGGATAAAGCTGTAGTCGTCAGAACCATGCTACTGTCGCTGGACAGGTCTTCACATGAACCTGGCCACCAGACAGAAGGCATCAAAGATTGAAGATCCTGCTTGTTAGGACTCTTTCGTGATAGGAATCCTTCAAAAATATATTCAAAATCTGCAGACTTCCACCAGAGAATCATCAGTTCCTCTCTCCTTAATAAATGACATGCCAAAGCGAGATAGATATATGATCCTGAATAGGGAAAGTCAGAAAGGACCCACACAGCAGTTTTGCATGCAGATGAAAGGGCTAATATAAGATGCTCAAAAAGTATTCGTGAGTCCTGAATCTCTAGGAAGCAATCAATTATTCTGTCCAAATTTGTATAGTCATGTGGTGGATGCACTTTAAAGGCTTCCAAAAAGAACGACAAAAGTGGACCCCTTGCAATGTATGCTGCACTTCCAGTTTCAATATCAAGAGAAGAAAATAATTCCTCAGATACTCCTTGAGAGACAGGGTGATTAAGTTCCTTGAATGACGCAAATCTTTTCAATCTTCTAAATTTCTCAACTGACCCAAATCCCACCCTCGCTTCATGCTGCAATTCTAACAGCCTGGAGAAGCAACAAAGCAAATGAACAGCAAAGGAGTTGACTTTGGGGGGAGACTGAATAGGAAGAAAACCGTCAACAGGATATTTAAAAGGGTATGCCCCAAAGTTCAACTCGCAACATTCGCCTTGAGACAATGAAACTGCAGGATGATATCCCAATCCAGGAACCATCTTACGAATCCCTCTGAATGCAACCCCAAGTGAGACACCATTTCTGTAAAATGAAATCTCGTCATGATCCGAATCTATGCAACACCCAATTACATCACCAACAACCCAAGACTGGCCATAAGCCTCAGCTCCCTTGTTCCATTTACAGACCCTTTTCCCATCATATGCATAGGAATCATCAGCATCCCCTACACCTTTATGATCAGAAAAAGGACAGGAAAGAGTAGCCCAACCAAGCTGCTGTACACCAGAAGATTCAAGTGTTACTTCATACATCCATCTCCCCTTCCACACACAGGCATTCGCCCTCACGCTGCTGAACAAGGCATGACTCTCCAAAAGCAAAGATGGCTTAGTAATTCGAATATCGCCACAAATGCTCGACTCTTCAATCCCAACAACTTGTGAACCACAACCATCAGCAGTGGTACACACCCCATCCCCATTTACATCACGACCACTCCCCAAATCTACATGGTACTTCCTGAAGTGATTCTTTATAATAGAACGAACTACTCCAGTATTTACAGGACATGTCAGCTGATTAATGGTCTTATAAGGAAGATCAAATATGTGTTCAAGAGTCCTTTCCACAGACTGATCACCAAAATCATCACAGTACGAAACAAGACGACTTCTTTGAGAGCCCTCTCTCCTATCTTCACCGTTTAACACTACAGCCAACCCAGGAGATAGCCCACCAATTCGTAGGCCGTCCTCAGCCATTCCCGCCAAAACAAAACACCACCACAACAGAATTCCAAAAGCAACCTATCCTACCTTACCTTAAATTCACCAAAACATCTATACAATCCAACACGTTCCACAACCATAGGAACAACTTACCCACCTACACCTGAAAAAAGAAATCCAAAACATACAACAAATATCTCACTATCTTCCACTTAAAACAAGCATATTCTAATGCCTAATCAACTCAATCGAAAAATCAACCATAATCCAATCATTAACTCAGCAAAATTCCTAAACCCCCCAGTTCACCTGATCAATTAAGCAAATACTAACTCCACCCCGCCTATAAATCAACAAACATCAAACTTTCTATCCTAAACAATACAAGTCATTAGCAAAGGCAAAACAAACACCTGAATATGCGTAAAAAACAGCAATAATCCTCACGGATAAAACGTTATTTTGAATTACTTACAGCAGAAGAAGACACAAATAAATAAGCTCCAAAGCCTCTTACGGTCAAATTCCTCCAAATAGTAGAGGCGGCGGAAGAAGAAGAAGAAGAATAGTAAATGAAATTACTAGGGCATATCAGCATCTTTGTATGGCATACTTTTGGAGAATTAGATTGTATACTGAAGGATACTTGATGAGTGAGTAATTCTTTCAAAAGTAGCAGTGTCTTTCAGAATAGCTCTTGCAGTCTCATTAATTTCTTGATCTGTAGGTTGTAAGTTATGTGAAAGTTGCCCATGGTGGGACCTATAATATCAGTTATCTGATTACTCATACTGTCATGATTCAAGTTGCCTCTAGGTATTATGGCTACTGGAGCAGTCAATGTGGTGAGAGGTTCAAGATCTTCAGTTGATGAACTTTTCCAGATATACAGCCATTCTGACAGGTTAGGGGAAAGTTCATTTGTTTATCTCTATAAATCTCCTTGTTTTATTACTCTATGCACTAAAATTGATATCTTGCTCATTTATCAAATTTATTGAAGTCAAAAGCACGTTGGAAGTTTGTTTAGTTGGTAACTTTGGATAATGGCATGGTTATATCATGATAAATCTTTAAGAACATCCCCTTTGAAGTACCATCAGGATGTTATCTTCTGTTTCATTAATTGTTTTTTGTTTCCCATTAAGATGCTTAAAGTAAGAATACATCAAGTTCCCCTTCATCATCAGGCAATATATTGTGGATAATATAAAATTATCTAAATGCCATGGAGTGTTTCCAAGACATGGGAGCCAGATATGACACATGATTTCATTAGAAAGTGACTTAGAATCCTGCAACATTCTTAGGAAATGCAATTTTCTTACTTGATGCAGCGGACTATTGTAGTGTGAAATGGAACTCCTTGTTTGATGCCAACTTGTTGAGTACCCTTTAGGTTGCTCTGCCAAGGATCTGTATTGACTATAAGATGAGATTTCAGAATATACATATGCAAACTAATCCTCTTCAATGTGAAGTCACATATGAAACAGGGAATGTTGCATGTTGATACTGAATTGCACTTGAAATTAGTACATGAGGAAAGCTATCAGGCATGCGCGTGAGGCCTTCTAAGCCCAAAGCGAGATTTTTGCTTGGGTTTTCAACCATTATTTTAAGTTTAGTTAATTTGCATATGCAGCTAGACTGAGGATCACTCCTATGAGAAAAAGTAATTTTTTAAGATAAGTTATGTAATGCTCTTAAAACATATACCAGAACTTTTCAAGATCTTTTCAATTTTGGTGTTTTTGGCTTTGTTGGAAGTATTTGGATTGTTAATTTTTTGTTTCTGGGTGGCGCAGTTAGGGTGGGCGGAAATTTAACTTGATAGGAAGCAGTTTCCTCTTAGCTTTTGACCTGAATAGTATTGAGTTGATATCCAAAAAAACGAAGTTTTTGTTTTCCCTTGACACAAAAGAGGGTTGACAGAAATCCATGGCATATGTCTTTGTTATAGATATTCAAGGAAAGGTGTGCATGGACTCAGACATCAAATGCTTCTTACTGTTTATGTCAACTAAGAGCTGAAACCTGAAATGGTGATGATATGTGTTTGCAGGAAAAGGGGGATTATTGCTGTTAAGTTTAAGGTTTACGAACTGCTTATATATTTCATTCTGTCTGTTTGTATACTGGTCATGCGACTAATAGTGTTAGCTATTAAGGGAAGAAGTTTAGGATCTGATTTTATCTGCTTAAGTATAATATGTTAGCTTGGAAGGAAAAATTTGCTAAAACAGGAGGAAAAATAAAAATGTTTAAGAATTGCATGTTCAACTACAACTTCGAAGAGGAAGGGCAACAAATGTCAGTGTGTATTAAGATAGCCTGAAGTCAACTTTTGATATTAAAATTTTGAGAAATCTTGTGCTTGGAGTTCAGTAGTTTGTAGGCTGCTGTTTCTTTGCTCTTTTTGGAGTAAGCAAGCTCAATTCTCTCTGTATGATTGCTGCTTGGCATGCCTTGTTTGTCGTAAACCTATTTGTGATCATCATATTTTATTGTTTCACATTTATCATCCTCCTCAAACTATAAATACTTATTTGCTTGTTACAATTACTGCAGTGTTGCGCTTGTGGTTGATAATCCTGAAATGTACAATAGAATTGCGGATGCTTTCAGTTCCCAGGCCACCTTACAATTTGTGATTCTCCTTTGGGGAGACAAATCAAGCTTGTCAAGTGAAGTAGAGGGATTGCCAGTTTATTGTTACCAAGAGATCATTGATTTGGGCCATGAGAGTCGTAGGGCTTTGCTTAGCTCCCAAGATGCTAGTAAGTTCATCGATATTGGCAAAATGAATACTAATTTGACAACAATTATTTCCATATTCATTCTCACTAATAATGTGTAGCACATATATGAACATGTTGTTGTCACTTTATCTTCCTACTTGTAATGGGCCCCAATGCATCATTCAATCAATCAAAGAACTTTTGTAACCAAGAATAATAGGATTTAATTTTCCATAGGTCCTTAACCAGTGTGCATGTATAGATTGATAGATATGAATTGTACACCAACTATAGAAACCTTAGCGCTTTAGTGGGGTTTCTCTATTTGGACCTCGGAGTTCTCAAGTTTGAATCATATAATCAAAAATAGAATAGTATATTAGTGGTAACACTAAGTGTGTATTTCTTCCTTTATGGTGAATCTCATCCAGTAGCTTTATGTCACAAGGTAACTTTGTATTTGATCCATTGGATGTTTGCATCTACAAATTAAAAGTGATATCAATCTGGAAATTAGAAGTTTCATCATTTCCCTCCCATTTTTAGTAAGTTTTGCTTACTTTATCCAATTTGTAACCACCAAGCTTTGGCTCAATGGCTACCAAAAAGGGATTAAGTCCCTCTTTGGGCTGTAGGTCGGGAGTTTGAATCCCACTTGCAGCGAAAAAAATCCAAAGGAGGTGCTAGAGTACCCCTTTGGTTTAGTCGGGTTGTTATACCTGCTAGCCCCTTATACAGCCTCTTTAAGCTTCCCCGCCCTATAGAATAGGATAGATTAGATTATAGGAATGTTATTGTTGCGGCAAAAAAAAAATCCAATTTGTTGATAGGCAATATTCTGTTTCTCTTACTTTAAGCGTTGAAGCTTAGAGTTCACTAAGCATTTCATTGCTGGTCTAATTTTATGATGATAGTTAACACACAGTACGGCTAACATCTCTATATCTCAGTTATACCACAAAGATCTTTTGTGATTGTGATTTTTATATCTTTGAATCTAATTTTTCAATGTGATTATTTATTGTGGTTTCGACATTTATTTACAATGAAGGAGTTACCAAGCATTTAAGGGACTCATTTTTTCCTTTAATTTTTGAAGGATGCATTTCAATGGGGATTGTAATATTTCAACCATTCATTTTCACTATAGTTGATTATAATGGAAAATTAGTACTAATTGACCATAAGACACTATGCTCAAGAGTTCTGTTAGAGAATGTGATTTGTGGCACTCACATGCAACTGGATGTGGCATTGGTCATGCTTGTTAGTCCCTCTTTTCCGGAGCTTCTGTTGCATTCCGACATTCGAACTTATTAGTGACAATGTAAAGATGTTGATTAGATGGTTTTACACTTCCAAATTAACCCTTTGCGAGACCAACCATTTTTTGAATTGCCTGACATGTTCAAACAAGATGTGGAACCAACTGATTCCTTAAAGACCTCAAGCAAACTTACGCGTGGGAACACATCTGGCAAAAAACTAGCCTGCTTGTATTGCAAGGGCAAAGAGGGCATCTTTGGAGATTTCATCCAAATTGCTATGGGGCCATAATTGTGAGAAATACATGGGAAATATGAGAGGCTAGTAGTTGGAAAATGCTGACAGTGATTTACCAGCTATGGTATGTGAGAAAAATTCTGGGACTGGTAAAAAAAAAATGCATGACACTTCTCATGGGATGGACGAATTAATACATAACACAGGGATTTTGTAACTCCATATTATATATTAGCCATTTTAAGTATAGAGGAACAACATTGGCTCTAATAGTCAGTGACAGAGGTATATATGCTTTGTTGTTAAAACTTAGCTGATGTTTCTATCAGATTTCAACTGAAAATGTTATCAAAAAATCCTTACCCGAGTTTGATGCCAATGAGACTATTGAACTCTTAAGTCAACAGTAACAAGAATTAGGAGAATACTATTGCATAATCAATGTCCTTACAGTGTAAGTTGTGAATCTTGTAAAACAATCATGTTTTGTCGTAATGTGCTGGTGGGTAGGTTGGACTGTCTGTTGGTAATATTTTTCTAAAAGCTTGCTCTTCTATGAAATGAATAGAACAAATAGTTGCCACTTTACTACGTTTTTGCAACAATATATGACCCCTTATTTGTGAATCATTCTTAGAATGCCTGCTTATCCTGTTCAATGACGACTTTTCTCTTCATTATGTGAGGTTCAGTTGCCATATGTTTACTTATTTTTTTTTAACTTAAACTGCAGTTCTCTTTCCTTTTAGTGTTGGGTTCTCAAAAAGTGTGGCAACCAAGGCATGTGGCATAACAGTCTTAACTGCCTTTTCATGTCAGGGCAACAATATGCATATGAAGCCATCAGCTCTGACGATGTAGCTACACTCATCTATACAAGTGGAACCACTGGCAATCCAAAAGGAATCATGCTTACACATAAGAATATCCTGCACCAGGTCCGAACTTCGCACTTTTTACTGCCTTTTTCTAGTGCCAATCTTTAGAATTTGAGAGAAAGCCAATATAATATGTTGATATTAATATAAGCTTCTGTAATTGATGTAAAGCCAGAGAAGGTCAATATAAGTTACCGACTAGTGCACAGCTGTTGAGCCGAGAGTTCTTAACACACGGAGTAGTGTATGTCTGATAGCAGATATAGACTACATGTCCTTGTTTGTTCTTACTATTGACAGCAAAATTAACTTAGGTTAATTTCAACTGACGCAAAATTGCTGGCGATTCCTTTTCTTTGGTCTATTATCAGACTAAATCTTCCACTATGGAGTTGATTTCCTATATTGCTCAGTGTCCTAACTTCTGTAATTGCTTCAAATTGTTGGATCCTCCCAACTTATTGAGTGCAGATTTTGTCTTAAGTAAGGTAGACTACTGTGGTTGTTTTTGCATTTCTTTTTTTTTTAAAACTTTTTAAGTAATGTCTGTAGTTTAATTATTGTTGTAGTTGCTGTTTTTATTGTCATTGCTGATTGCCTCATGTCATGTATATTTCATATATTGAGCCATCTAGAGCTGCCTTTGTCCACCAAGTACTGTGGTAGACTACAAGTTCAAAGCTTCAGTAGAGCATATATTTTGATGTTAACAGATAGAAGTTATTAAGTACAGAAAGATAAAAGTCGAAATAGCTGCATTCCTTAGATAATAAAGAAGAGCTACACATTACACTACCTCAAATTCGACTTAGGATATATTCTAAGAGGTCAAAGGAGAAATTTGCTGAATTGTAAGCTGAGGGATAGATGCAATGCCCTAATAGTCTATGCTAGAAATGGAGATATATCAAACTTACTGTGGATGAAGTTTCAAAACATGACTTGTTGATGTGGTGTGTAATGGATCTACTCTAGAAATGCACTGAACCAAGTCACAGAATCGGGCTTTTACCCAAATAATTATGTATTCTTTGAGATATTTTTTTGCGGCCTGATTATTGTAATGGACCAGCCTACTTCTTCTTCTTCTTCTTCTTTGGCCCCTTTTTTTCACCTTTAGGAAGCCTGTGGAAAGCTAATCCCCGACTTCTTGATGTAAACACGAGTGCCAGGAGACAAAATTGTTGAATAAGATAATAGCTTACATGAGTTGACTGCAAGTTTGGACTTCTTGATGTGGGATGAAAAATATCTTTGTCATTTAAATCTCGTGTCTTCAAGTTGCGGTACTAATTCTGTTTCTGAATTCTCCTGTGTTTAGATTACAAATTTATGGGATATTGTCCCTGCTGTACCTGGTGATAGATTTCTAAGCATCCTTCCACCATGGCATGTATATGAACGCAGTTGCGAGTATTTCATATTCACATATGGGATTGAGCAAGTATATACAACGGTTAAAAACTTGAAGGTGCGTGTTCTTGGTTTTTCATCTTATACATAATTTAATAACAAGAAATGTACTTGATTGGAGCATTACAAAACAATAATTGTGATTTTTCCCTGACTTTGCGTGAGCAAATTAATTAAAGCAATCCTTTTGTAAGTCTGCCTTCTAACCAATTGAGTTATTTCTATTTTAGGATGACTTGCGGCGCTATCAGCCTCATTATCTAATATCTGTGCCTTTAATTTACGAGACACTATACAGGTGATTCACACAACCAGTAATTTGTACATTCCATAATGCAAAATAATTTCAAGAACTGAAGACAATCACTCAGAAACGGGATATTTGAGTAAGAAAAAAAAAGATGGAAACTATATCTAAGAATAGCATAGGTGATAAATTTTCTACCTTAAAGAGAATATTTGGGTGGTTTTAATTATTTCATTTTGGCAAATGCCTTATTTTATTTGAGGCCTACTTATTGTTAGGCATAAGATTTTCATCGGTTTTGGGGAAAAAATTCTGTAGTATATGTTGGGGATTAGTTGTGCAATATTCCATTACAATGGCTCTCATTTTGCTTTGCTATAGTTAATATTTGAGATTGAGAATCTAAACTTGGGTTGCTTTCATCGAAATGTTTTGATAATGTTCATTTTGACAACCCATTATATGGAGTTGATTTGCCGGTGCTTTGGTTGTCGTGCATTCATAGTTCCATAGCTGATTGACTTTTTGAACATCTCAAGCTTATAGGTTTCATGTTATCTAAACTCTCCTGCCTGTTGAACCATCTGCCTCTTCCTGTATTATCACTATTGGTATCTGTTTTACAGTGGAATTCAGAAGCAATTTGCTACGAGCTCTGCAGTTCGGAAGTTTGTTGCACTTCTGTTCTTAAGGACTAGTATGGCATACATGGAGGCCAAAAGAGTTTATGAGGTTAAGCTCAAGCATCTTTCATATAAGCAGAACATTCTGAAGTTGGGCTATGTTTGTTATATTTTGCTTCTGCTTTTGCTTTTGAGGAGATCAAAGCTCATTTCCATTGATTAGATGCCTCTGAGAATTCATCATCTCCATAAGTTTTTGGCATCTTGTCCTATATTCTATTAACTAAGTTCCCATTACATTGTAGCAAATGCCCTTAGAAGTAAGCTAGAAGGTGCCATCCTTCAGTTTAGCAGATAGTGAGAATTATTGTCTAAGAGGCATGTACTTTTATAATTTCCTGGGGTAGTTTGTTCTTTCTTTGCTTTTTCTTTCTTCTTTTTTGTCTTCATGTGATTGTCTTTTGTCAAAGGAAACAAGCTTCAGAAATTTGCTGCAATATATGTCCTGATCCTTTCAGAATTTGAGCTTTAATCTTCAGTGTCACTGCTTATTCGTTGGAACCAGGATGCATTGGCTATTTCTTATTACTCTGTTGGATGATCCTGACACCGCCTCTTAGCTTTGTTGTGAAACAGATATGCTTTGAGTATCAATCTCTGAATGGAGTTCACTCATGTGAGAAGTTTCTAAGATTTGCATGACTTCCACGTAGAAACCCATTAGCTTGATCCTACTAAATATACCCCCTGCTGCATTATAATTATGTCTTGTACTGTTGTTATCCAGAATTGCATATTTTATCCAAAAACTCCATTATAACCATTTGCACAAGTCCTGCCTAATATTTTTGCATGCAGGTATACTTGATGATTACTGAAACAAACCTAACTTTTATCCTTGAAGGGAAAATGTTTAACAAGATCTCCAGAAGAACCATCCTACATAGTTGCTGTGTTGGACTGGGTATACGCAAGAATTATTGCTGCAATATTGCTGCCACTACATATGTTGGCTAGGAAAATTGTTTATAGCAAAATCCATGCTGCAATTGGAATTTCAAAGGTTGTGTATGGCAATGGATATCAAGTTGAAATACATTTCGCCTTTCTTTTAATGTTTTGAACTTCTGCACTAGTTGGCAAGCTGGCAATAATGGAAATAGTAATCCAATATTTTCATTTGATGATGATTCAGGCTGGCATAAGCGGAGGTGGTAGTTTGCCTTCTCACATTGACAAATTTTTCGAGGTTGTGTCCTTTTTCATTCTTTGCTAACCAATGTGGGTAACTTTAGTGGTGGCTTTTGTCAATCCGGTTTAAATACCTGCAGGCAATTGATGTCAAAGTCCAAAATGGGTATGGCTTAACAGAGTCATCTCCAGTCGTTGCTGCTCGATATCCTGATTGCAATGTAAGAGATGTAACCCCTGCTTATGGATTACCAGATTTGTGTTATAATTTAGACACATAAGCACATTAAGTTTGTATTAATTTGTTAATTTGATGAACATAGACATATATTGGATGTTTTGCTGCTTTGAGTTTCTTAAATACTACTTTACAACAGTTGCCAAATATGAGATGTTTGGCAGACTTTTTACATGATTTTTTAACTATAGAAGGTGGCATATTGATGGCCACGGCATTCTTCAGCTTATTGCTGCACTGTAGTTGCCACCTTCTGCAAATGCTGTAAAACATGTTGATAAGGGTAATTCAGTCACAAAAAGCTCATTAGTACTGCAATTTGCAATTTTAGTCAGAAATTTTGAGTTGTATCCCTTGGCAACATGAAGTAGCTCAATGATCCTTTTCTTATCATGTGAAATTCTTACAAATAAAAAAAGTTAGACCAAGTTACATACACAGCATTTATATTCTTCATGACTTCTGGTGCCATCTGTATCTACTTTATCCTAGGGCGCTTTACTTGATAATAGAACAGATTTAATCTTTGAAGGTTCTTGGTTCAATTGGACGTCCTATCCAACATACAGAGGTTAAGGTTGTGGATGCTGAAACAGATGAAATTCTTCCGGCAGGTTCGAGTGGCATTGTCAAAGTCAGGGGGCCACAAGTGATGAAGGGTTACTACAAGGTAAAATGTTAACTTCTACAGTTTCTTGCAAAAACAGATGGATTGTTCAAGCTTTTTCTAGTTAAAAGTGAAACGTCCATTGCCTCTTCTTGCATCTTTTATAGTGACTAAGCTACTCTATTTTATCATACTAAGAATTTTGTTTGCTGAATGTGTTCCTCAAATATATAATAAAAGTAAGATTCTGAGTTTTTCAGAAAACTCACTATATTTGTATTTACACCAATGAGTTATTTTTCTACAGAATACAATGCTATTGTACATACAACTACATACTCAGCTTCTAGTGAAGTCAATTGGAGACATTCTCTGCTCATATTTTTTCTTTGTCTGTAGCTATCATGAAGATGTAATTGATTCAAATGAAAGAAAGCAGTTGTAGTTTTATTTGATGGAAACAACATGTGACTTTATGCTCTTGGGCGCCTGAACTGATGTTCATTATGGCAGTGAACCAATTTAAATTGCCGTGTCTTCTACATCTTTCAATTTGCCCAGTCCTCTTTATGTGGAAACCAATTATATCTCTATTTTCAATTTATAATGGTTTCATTCAGTTAATGCTGATTACCCTGGAGTTCAAGTCATCAATCTTGTCCTTCTATAAGATTTGTATTGGTAAATTTCTGCTTCGTTAAAGACTGTGTGTGTGAGATGGATAACCCTGAGAGTTTACCTTCTATGTACTTTTCATTTTGTTGCCGTTGTGGTAACTGGAAACAAAGACGGGGCTATAGATTGAAGGATGGACTGTATGAAACTGCACACAGATCATTAATTAAGCTTGATATATGTGAAGTTTATCTCTCTTATCTGACCAAATAGAAATTTGCATTAACTGTCTTTTCAGTCTTCTTTCCGCATTATTTGCTACATAGCAATTACTAGTTCAGACTAAGGTATCCTTGTTTTGTTGTTGATTATCAATGTTTCTCTAATTTCAATTTAACCAGAATTCCACCGCGACAAAGCAAGCCATAGATGAGAATGGGTGGCTTAATACTGGTGACATTGGATGGATAGCACCTCATCATTCTTTGGGGGCAAGTCGTCAATCTGGAGGTGTTATAGTTCTTGAGGGGCGTGCAAAGGACACTATAGTGCTTTCAACAGGTAACTTTGTTACTGTGTAAACATGCAACAACAGGATAAGACGAAGGAAAGTAAGCAAGACTTTAGCAAAGTGTCTTAGCAAAATAGCAGCCTTGAACATCTTTGCTATGTGAGAAATCTGCAAGAGTTCTTGAAACCTGGTGTTCCAACAACTGGTGATTGTGGTCAACATAAAAGTTTCTTTTTGAAAGTTCATTTAGATGTAAAGAACTGCATATAAAACTCCAGGCATTCCTTGGAGAATGACAGTTATTTTTAGCTGATTGTTTTAAAACGCTAGTTAAAAAAAAAAAGCCTATTAGAAAACTTTAACTTTTTAACTGCAGATATGATTGTGTTAAATTTTTTTTTTTTTAAAAAAAAATCAGATATGCTAAGTGCTGATAGCATTTTACAGAAGAACAGCATAAATTTTACAACAAACACTAAAATAAAGTTAATTAGGATGCTTTTGACATATTCAAAGAAGTTGATTGATGCTTTCTTGGATAATATGGTAAAACTATTGATTAAAAAGCCTGAAGGTAGAGGCAGACCAAAACTAAGGGACACAAAGTAATTAAAAGAGAACCTGAGGGTGTATTAGCCAACAAAAAGTATGTAGCTAAATATTGGTGGAAAAAGGAAAAGGGTGCAAAGCCAACCAAGATAATGTGGTCTGATGCCTTTATTTAGTTGATTTTTTTGTATATCTGAAATTCTAGTTTTATGTTCTACAAGTAGTTAAAGTGCATAAGCGTTCTTTTTCTCTCCATGTGGGTGTGGCTGTGGGTGCATTTGTGTATATGGATGTGTGTCGGTAAAGAATTTAAGAAGAAAAATCTTTTACCTTGGAATTTTGTGTAACTGTGTTGGCCATATTTCACATAGTTGTAGTACACCCCTCTCCTTGCTTCAATCTTTTGGTGGAGAAATATGGATTAATCTCAAAGGATTAATCAATTGGGTGGAAAAGGGGTGCTAGCTCTGCATCTGGTTTTGTTGTAAGTCGTTTACATCATCTATTACTGATCGACTACTTTTGATGTATAGGTGAAAATGTTGAACCATCAGTGATTGAAGAAGCTGCAATGAGAAGTAGTCTAATTCAACAAATTGTTGTCATTGGCCAGGTTACATCTTAGTTATTCATCCATATTATCTATTACCCAGCTTGTCTAAGTACTTCCTACTTGTTTTATGCCTCTTAAGCATGGAATGGTATCAATGATATACAGGATCAACGACGTCTAGGAGCTATTATCGTGCCAAACAAAGAAGAGGTTATTTTGGCAGCTAAGAAGTTGTCTATCTTGGATTCTGATGCTTCTGAACTCAGCAAGGATAAGATGACTAGCTTGTTATATGAAGAGTTACGGAGATGGTATGCCATAATTGCTAGTGCTTTCATTAATTTGAGCATGTTGTACTGCATATGGAAGCATATGAAATTATTATCTCTGAATTTAGTTGTAAAGCAACAAGTAATGGACATGATAACTATTAGCAAGAAGTATCACCCAACTCAGATGGAGATCTCTTCAATTTTTACATAGTCCTGTACCTCAAGCATGGTTTATCCTGGTCTATAGTTTAGACATGTCAAGCCATCATGTTGATAATGTTCCTCTGATGCATGTTTCTGTTTCATTTGGCACATCCTGCACATTGACTTATCCTGGGCCTTTGCCTGCTTTTTTTCATGACTACTACTTTTCAGCCATCCTGAGTTTCTGTAAATGTCGAGACTTGTGTACTGACTGACAATGCATATAAACATTTTGGAAGTTTTAATCAGCAATTTAACAGAAGTGCAAACATCTTGCTTTATGCCAGTCTTTGGCTCTGTTCATTGTTTGCTGATCTTCTGCATTCCAATCGTCCTTCTCTATTAGGAAAATGTGAGGTATAATTACTAGTGGCACTGTGATTTTAACTTCTTTTACCCTTGTTAGGACATCCGAATGCCCATTTCACGTTGGACCAATCATCATTGCTGATGAACCATTTACGGTATATTCTCATACCCGCTCAGTGACCTTCATTCTCTTGTCATGCTAATGGTGATTAGATATTGATGTGATGGTTTCTTGAACAATTTTCTCTGAATCCAGATTGATGCTGGTCTAATGACTCCAACCATGAAAGTGAAGCGAGACAAAGTTGTAGCTGAATACCAGGAACAAATACAGAATATATACAAGTGACATCCTACCCATAGAGTTGGAAGAACCATTGGTCTGCATTTACCTGTACGCAGAACTTGAATTCGTTTTCTGAGTGTGAAAGTCTAGTCATATTTCGTGTTATAATGATAGTGCTAGATATTCCAAAATGACAACTCTGTAGACTGTAGACAGATGATTTTGGATTGTAATATCATCTGCTATAGCCTTAAAACTCAGTTAATTCCAAGGTTATGGAAACCTATAAGTTTAATCTATGTGATATGTTATTGCTTCAGTGCTAACACACAATTGATAAGTACGGACCACTTCTTCACAAAAGATCGGGTGTTCGAATCCTATTATCAATGTGAGGAGGGTTGTGTTGGTAGACGATCAGCAAGAATCCTTATAAACGACTTATGGTTCACAGGGCAAACTTTGACCCGCGGTAATAATCAGAGCCGAATTTATCTTAATTTTTATTTACAAAAGTTTTTTTTATTGCTTCTACGAAATATATTTGACAAAATAACATTGCAACTAACACACGTGTAAATTAAGGAACGATGTACACAACGATCCAATAGACAATACAAATTCAAAACATATCAAAAAGAATAATTCCTTTGCTTTCACCTTTTCTATTTCCTAAAAAATCAGCAAAAGTTAAATATCTCGTATTGATAATCGGGTGCTTCACAAAAAGATTTAAATATAGAAGGTCAAAACATAAGAAAATTTAAAAAGTTTATTTTAAATGTCATTAAAGAAATTCAACATCAAATAGAAAAGTTTAAAAGTGTGCTAGTGTCTACAATCTATTAATTTTGCTACATTATCTTATCTTTCCTCCAAATAAAGAAGATTATAATTTGTAAATTGAATCTTGATAACAAATAAGAATCGTTACCCTAGCGCTATTTTCTTGATTAGGTGGGTGCCTAAACCGCTTCCATATTTTAGTTTGTTCATCCCATTCTTCTTTTTTGATCAAATCATCTATTTTTAATCTTTGAATTTTCTTTTGCACCCCTAATACTATTTGAAACAGCTGTTTGTAGTTAATGAAAATCACAAAAGGAACTGACTTTTCATTTTATCAAACTGAATTTTATCTAACTAAAGAATCTTACTTGTTCAAGTACCCGAACGACTTGTTTGGATTGCTAACTTTTGGAAAAAAAAAAAAAAATCAGTCATTTATTTTACCTCACATATAACACATTTTAAAAATTTAATAATTTTTATTAAAAGCTCTTCAAAAAGTGCAATTCAAACCACCAAATTTCCATTTGAGAGCAACCACCATACTTTGGCATCATGGTTATAAAATAGCCAATACTTTCTTCTATCGAAGTGTGCTGTGTCAAAGAATGGTTTCATATGAGAGGCTTGAGAAACCTCCAAGCATCACACTGTATTATTTTGGAACCTTTGAAATTCTAAATAGATGTAGGGAAACCCTTTTTTGAAAATAAATTAAAATGCAATTTAAATTTTATTTAGTAATAAGTATAATAGCACAAGAAAAATTAAGACAAATCTCTATTTCGCAACGAAGCGTACTCTATTTGATAATACACTTCATTTATAATTGGTAAGTGATGAATTCGAGTCAGTACGGGATAAATATAGAATACTATTGAGCAAAAAAAAAAGAAATAAAAGTGTCTATTTCAGCGCACTATAGCTTCAAAAGGCGTGATATATGCTTCTTTCAGTAGAACCACGCCATAGTCCTTCCTACACTCGTGGCTCGGGCAAAGCCTTTCTTTCACATATGCCGACTTGCGAATTTCCTCAAACATTCACGGTCCACCTGAGCGGAAAAGAACCACCAATTACAATGCTCAAATCCCTTTTGATTGGAGAATCTCCCGCCTACAGTCTGAGGAATTTAATGTACAGTTCTAGCAGCCATTGATGCACCACTCTCAACTCCTTCACCAACTGAAACAATGCATAAAATTCCAAGCTCTTATAGAAGGCCAAAATATCCATGCCTACATACTCAAAACCGGGCTAGACTGTTATTTACCCCATTTTTCCAATGTCCTGATAGATTTATATGGAAAATGTGGCCTAGTTCCAGATGCCTTGAAGGTGTTCGAGAAAATGCCTCACAGAGACTTGTTCTCTTGGGCATCAATTTTAACCGCTTATAACCAAGCAGACCTTCCCCACCGAACTCTTTGCCTGTTTACCAAGATGTCCTGGCTGGATTACCTAAAGCCTGACCATTTTGTTTTCTCGACCCTGATCAAGGCTTGTGCCAGCTTGAGTAATGTAAGGCTTGGCGAACAAGTGCATGCCCGATTTGTAGTATCACCGTATTCACATGATGATGTTGTTAAGTCGTCTTTAGTTGATATGTATGCGAAATGTGGATTTCCTGATAATGCTCGTATTGTTTTCGATTCAATTTGTTCGAAAAATTTGTTTTCTTGGACTGCTGTAATATCAGGGTATTCTAGGAGTGGTAGGAAATTTGAAGCTGTTCAAATGTTTCAAAGTTTGGAAGATAAGAATGTGTATGCTTGGACGGCATTAATATCTGGATTGGTGCAGAAAGGACATTATGTTGATGCATTTGAACTTTTTGTGGAAATGAGAAGAGAAGGGGTTGAAATCACGGACCCCTTTGTTCTGTCAAGCATCACTGGAGCTGCTGCTAGCTTAGCAGCATTGGAGCTTGGAAAGCAAGTGCATTGCTTGGTTTTGACCCTTGGTTATGAATGTAGCATGTTTGTTAGTAATGCGCTTGTGGATATGTATGCTAAATGCAGTGATGTGTCCATTGCAAAGAAGATTTTTGACAGCATGTGGGAGAGGGATGTGGTTTCTTGGACCTCAATTATAGTCGGTATGGCACAGCATGGGCGAGCCGGTGAAGCATTGGTCCTTTATGATGAGATGATTATGGCTGGACTGAAGCCAAATGAGGTGACTTTTGTAGGACTAATATATGCCTGTAGTCATGTGGGATTGGTAGAAAGAGGTCGTGGACTTTTCAACTCAATGGTCAAGGATTATGGATTGCTTCCATCTCTGCATCACTATACGTGCTTATTGGATCTATATAGTCGATCAGGGCATCTTGATGAGGCAGAAGATCTCCTTACAGCAATGCCTTTCCAGCCTGATGAGGCTGCCTGGGCAGCCTTATTATGTGCTTGTAAGCGGCATGGAAATATCAAAATGGGTGTTAGGGTGGCTGATCGTCTACTGAGCTTAGGACCAGAAGATCCTTCAACTTGTATACTGCTGTCTAACGCTTATGCTGGAGCTGGTATTTGGGAAAATGTGTCAAAGGTGAGAAAGTTAATGACACATATGGACACAAAAAAGGAGCCTGGTTACAGTCGGATTGACCTGGGAAAGGAAAGCCTTGTTTTCTATGCTGGGGAGTCATTGCATCCTATGAGAGATGAGATTTCTACTCTGCTTAAAGAGATGGATGCGGAAATGCGGAGAAGAGGTTATGTGCCTGATACTAGTTTGGTTTTGCACGATATGGGGCAGCAAGAGAAAGAAAGACAGCTCTTTTGGCATAGTGAGAGATTGGCTGTGGCTTATGGGCTGCTAAATTCTGTTCCAGGGGCTGTAATACGCATAGTAAAAAATCTGAGAGTTTGTGGAGATTGTCATAATGTGCTCAAGTTTATTTGCTCCATAACAAATAGGGAAATTGTTGTTAGGGACTCCACCCGGTTCCATCATTTCAAAGACGGGAAGTGTTCATGTTGCGACTTTTGGTGATCACTGATCACGGAGGAGAAGGTGGTAGGGTTATAATAGCTCAGATTATAGGAGGAAGATGGTCACAGCCAAGAAAGAAGTGTTTTTTGATTCTTCTCCATACTCTCGCAAGATTCAAAAAACTGTCCAACTTTATAATCCAGAATCCTGAGATGCAATGCAACACTTTGATCAAGGCTTCATGATATGAAATTCTCCAGGATGTCAGGGTTGATGGCTGTTTTAGGCTGTCTGATTAAGTGCTTGGGCCTTGTACACAGATTTGACGGGAGTCTCCAGAATCTAAACATGTATCCCCTACTAAAGGAGCTGCCTAAATTTGCAAAAAGAGACCCATTGCTTGCTTAACATGAACATCAAGCAATGCAGCAGTAGATGATAACAGAGAACGGGGTAAATGAGTTGCAGTAGGTGCCGTTCATGGAGGAAAATAGTTATGAGCCAAGAAAGAGATATATGTTCCTTTTTCCAGCACATACATTTGCAAGATTCAAGAAACTGGTTATTTAAACTCCAGAATTCTGAGATGCCATAGGCATCAATGTGATGTGTAATTTCTCTATGACGTCAGTGTTGATGGCTGCATTTGGCTATCCGATTGAGTGCTAGGTCCTTGTACGGTTATTTGATGGGAAACAACAAAGTGTAAACATACATCCAAAAATGAAAAACGCATCTCATACTCAAGGAGCTCTGCAAAATTGCAAAACCTACCACTTAGCTTCCTTTATGTGCATCACAATTAGTGATGCTGAATATCCAGATTTCTCTGTAAAGAGAAACGGTGGTTATTACCTTCACTGTATTCCAACATTGGGGTCTGCACAAGATCACTCCTCGGCTTTGTTGATCATATGCAATCATGTCAAGAAAATACGCCTGAAACTCCTCTTTCAAAACAATCAGGTATGGTTTGTAATACTATTGGATAAAGTATTATTTGAATAATTATTATAACACTTTTTATTATTTGAAATAAAAAAAAATGGTTGAAAATATAAAAAAAATGAATTGAAAAATATATTTATGATGCAAGAAATATTATTTGAAAAAATTTGCTATCCAAACACTCACTAGTTTGTGCAGTTTGTACGATCAAGCATGAAACAGCAGAACCTAACTTTGTGAAAGTATAGTTTGCATTACAATAATCTCTGTTGAATTAAGGCACATAATCAAATTCATATAATGTTGCATCCCATGCCTGCAATATTCTTTTTAGTTTACAAGAAATGTTTTATGATGCTCATATCCATATATCGGAAGTGCAGTCACCCCCAGGATATCTCATCTCATGTGCTAAGGAAGGACCATCTGGTTCAGCCCCAAAGTCAACAAAAAAGTTGGGATTGATGGTCAGACCACCTTTCTCTGTGTCAACATCAATCTGTATGATATGCCCTCCCTTCTCCACAAGATCAGGGTAAAACTGGCGATCCCAAGCACTGAAGAGTGAGTTGGTTGCATAAAGCCGCTTTCCATCTAAACTCAACTGAATCATCTGAGGCCCTCCTCTCAGTTGGTTCCCCTTTTTAACAAACAAAATCAAGAATTTTAGTCAATCTTTTCATCTAAAAACGAAACAAAAAGTAAAACATTTAAAAAAAAAAATCTGATGTAACATGGACACTTATATTGGCTAAAGTGTGTGAAACTTGAATAGCAAACTCACATCACCAGAAATTCTAATTAAAGCTACAGATCAAAATTTACCTGGATTTCTGGGACATCAACTTGATATGTTGTCCCATCTTCAGCTTCAGCAACTACAGATCTACCTTTTCGAAACAAACCTCCAACCCATATTTGCCCAGTAAGCTTAGGGCTTTTAGGGTCCTCAATGTTATACTGGCGTATATCACCATGAAGCCAGTTGGCCAAGTAAAGGAAACGATCATCAAGAGATATAAGAAAATCTGTTATTAGACCAGGCATTTCAGGAAGGATCCAATTCTGCACCTTCACTGATTTTACTGATATTGATACCTGTAAGATCATTTAGCAATAAGTCAATTGCGAATTTATTTACCATCTCACTTGACTGGCCAAAGCAATAGATATTTGGGCATACCTCATGGCTCCATGTGTCATCTGGGTTTTTAAAAAATCGTACCATGTTGCTGGTCAAGGCACAACCAACAAAGCCAGTATCTTTGGATGGATCATGCAGGAACCTAATCTGTAAAAAAGTAAAGTTTTACCAGAATCAATGACCAATAAATTATACAAATCTATTTACCGATTAAAAGAATAATGCAAGGATACATTCCTAAATATGATGTGACTTTTGCTAGTCAAGTCATTGACAACAAAATATCTGATGGAAGATGTCATCTCACCTCCAATGGTATGAGTCCTGTGTTGCCAAGATCCAATGTCTGTTTTAATTCACAATCAGGCCAGCTATAGACATGCAAATGCCGTCCATAAAGGCCATCTGCAACATGCTGGAGGTTGAAACCTTTGGTAAAAGCGGCTGGGGCTCCCCACGAAGTGCTGATCATGGTTTTGTGCCTTGGCTGGTACCAGAAATCATAACCATAAAGCGGGCTATGTCCAGGTTTGTCCCACCTATTACAAGGACAGGCAGAAATAGTGGTCTCATTATGTTCTGTCATACTCCCAATAACTTAACTTTTTTGTTGCAGAACATGTTGTCAAAGTTTGAAACTCCAACATACAGGTAAAGTAGAATCACATGGAGAGAGGAAGACAACTAAGCAAGATACTGGACTGGATTTGTGCTTTTTTTTTTAGCATCGCAATTATAATTTAAGATTAGGGTGAACATGTTAACTAAATAGACAACTCGTATGCTCATAGAGTACGAATGACAATACCTTCCTTTCACATTGAATTCTGAGTCAAGCAAAAGGAAGCCGTTTCCTTTGGCATTTCCATCTTTATCTCCAAGACATGACACCATGATATCACCAGAAGCAAGACAATGGGCAGTGTGCGGAAATGCTAAACCAGTCTTCTGTATGATATCTTCACGCTCAACAACCTTGTGCAGAGCTGGAGCCTTTGGGTCCTCCTTTGTATCAACAGCGTATATGCGTCCAGATCTGAAAGAGTACCCAAACTAAGCATAGGGATATTACCTAGTTTCTATTGAGTTAAAACTTGACAAAATTTTTTTGGTGATATCACTCATAGCAAGTAAAATTGAAAAAAAGAGCATTTTGCAGTAAATGTAGAAGAAAATGGCTGTATGCAGCAAAAAGAAAGTATATAGAGTTTCAGCTTCACTTCGATACTATTTTCAGACATTGAATATCAATTTTAACTCTGTCAGCTTCAGGTCACCAATATTTGCAGATGTGGTGATTATGCATAACATCTTTTAACTCTATCAACCATATCGTATGGACCAAATGTATGAACTTCAACAGATACTCTGCTTGATAGCTATCCAAAAAAGATTATGACCCATTAAAGTTTCTTATCACTATGAATTTACCAGTTTAGAACATTCATGTAAATGGTTTTCATGCTGAAAACATCAATGTCACTTTAGGAGAAGTCTCATGAAAAAGATAAAGCAGTTCTTCTCAACACCTTCAAAGTTCCAACTGTGATTTCTAGACAACAGGCAGGACAAGTGTATTTTTTCAGCTTCGATTACGTATCAATGGACTATGATAGTGATCGTTTGAAAAGCATTTTTAAAGATGTTATCCCTTACATTAACGAAGGCAAGACAAGAAATCTCCGAGTAGCTGACGGATCTCCATGGCAGGAGCTGCAGGCATTCCATCCTGAATGATGTAGTTCATCACCCACATAGGGCATAGGCAGCCTGTGGATAACTTTTGAGTAAGTTGGTGAACTTGGATCTACATCGACTGTGGCCAAGTAGTCAGGCTTCTCCTTTCCTGTTCCTGTTATTGAATGGAAATCTCTAAGCTCCAGAAAGATTTCTTGGCAAGCTTTGATATGATCCATTAGACCCCTTTAACTCACACATACAAGTCGGAATAAATAAAACCTATAAACATCCCACATGAAGTATTAACTAACAATGCCTGACACAAAATAGCCGACATGGAACAACTAATAGGGTAGAATCATGTATACAGAAAACAAATTCTTCTTCCCAGGAGATTGACAATTCCGTTCTCCAACAAACAGAATATGGACAATTTTCATCAGAGAACTGCAAATATCCGCTCTAACAGGGTTGTTCTGTAAGGTCATTCTCCGCAGCTTCGGCTAGTTTGAATAAACACTGGACACATCAAAACCTTACCCTACTCCTGGGGAAAACCTTAAACATGGTCCAATAAAACTGCTGAAAGCCGTTGTGCTATCTCAATATATGCTGAATTAAGGCATGTAAGAAATTGCTTAATTAGAGGCCAGAAAACAATTCAAACAACAGATTCACAAACATTCTACAGTAGCTCAATTTCTTCTTGGTACTCAAAGGTAAAAAGTCCAGATTCAAGATTCGATCAGCATGATTCCATTGACCCCAAAATCTCATCAATAAACAAAACTAACCGCAACCAAACTTTTCTATCCAACAGGCAAACATATTGGAGCAAAATCAATAATCACTCAATATTAAAAACCAAAAAACGAAAGAAGACATAATTATTATTCTCAACAAAGTCTTAAATCCAATTTTTTTTTTTTTTTTAAAAAAAAAAACTGCTGTCATCAAAGTACTGATTAAACAGCAAAGTCAGGGGAAAAGGAGATCAAGTACCTGTATAGACACAGGTAACATAAATAAGACATTCTCTGGGACCAGACATGGCCTCAAGCGGGCTAGCATAACCTGGACCCTTTTCACTGCAGCAGCTATGGCCATTTCTAGTCACTACATCAGTTGCAACAGCAGCGGCCATCTCAATCCCTCCTCTGTTTCTCTTCCTCCCTCCGCACCTATTACTTCCTCAAAAGCTACAACAAAGCAAATCAAGAACATCCCAACTTTTACAACCCCAATTTATTAGAAGTAGAATACTAGCGGTACGATATTTTTACATGGGATGCAATCAATTGCTTACCAAAGCCACGTTTGAATATGAACAGGAACAAACGTTGTTATCACCATGTAGTTAACAGCGTGGATGGACGAGGACTAATTGAAGTTAATTTGGTCAGTCATGCACGTCTTTTGTCTGGTTCTGCTGTGTTCCATATCTGGAGATAATGTATTTTAGCCGTCTAAGCGGAAATATACCCTCTGTGCATGTAGCCGGACTTAGGTGTCCAGGTGGGATGTATCAATTTTTTATGGACGTAAATCACGTAATCCCAGGAAAATCTTGCTGAGGATTTCAAAGTTAAATACAAGGGATTATTTTAGAAATCTCCCCTAAGGTTTCTCACAATATCATTCAGCTCCCCTAAGGTATTTAAAATCTCACTTACCTCCCCTATCACTTTGACAAGATTAAATATTCCTGTAAAAAGTCACAAATTGGCAACATTACCCTTGCTCTTAATAACCATTTAACCAAAAACTAAAATAAAATAAAATTTTAAACCAAAATGTGTAGATTAAAAAAATAAATTGAGATCTAATAATTGTCCATATTTCTTTATATCAAGGTCGTGGTGGGATAGTAAAGAACA